TAGTTCCTTTCCTCTCTTACGCGTAAAGTGTCCTCAGACAATGATAAATGACAATAACATCGATAAAAAAATGTTTGGAAAAACATATATAAAATGCGGTACTTTGATGCAGTATTTATAGGATAAGTATCTGTTGCGCGTCTCACTTGAATCCAAAGAGAGTGATTTAACTTTCGGAAAGGATCCTCGGGATCGAAGGTCCAGGTCTTGTCGGCGATCAAACTAATGTTTGCGTAAGCGCTATTTAGTAGCTCGTCGTATGACGGAAGTGGAGATATCATTATCTGTACATTATAACCGATTGAATCGGATTCCGTCAGCACGACGAGTCGCGAGGTTGGTGAAATTTCTGCGTGAAAAACGCAAACTTGCTCGTGTCTCGTTCACGAAGCGACCGAAAATTCAGTTTGAAGTCAACAAATAATATTAGACACTAATACATATATAGTAAAAAATAATAATTAATAATTAATAATTTGACGCGATGAAATAGATCGGTTTTAATCGTTTTGACAAAAGTATCGAAACGTATGCAAGAGATGAAGATCGAAGCCGTGATCGAGATTTATCGATGTAACAGATAGGTAATGAGCTTTTTTCAGACATTTTCAGAGATCGATGCGGGCCTTGTAATTTGTTTATCACTCTAAACTTTAGTTAAATTTACCTAAGTCGAATTGGACTTATATATTTAAACTTCTCTGATCTTTTAATTCTATCTCTTTATGAATATTAAAATATGAAAATTATGCGATACAAATTGTTAAATTTGTAATGCTAAATTATACTCAATTTAAGTCATTTTTAATTATTATAAACCGGCCTACTTAATACTATATCGTTAATTTAATTAAAATAATGAGTTAAAAAAGTTAAATAATTTAACTCAAGAAATGATTCAATAAAAAATTTAATTCAAATTTAATATTTTTATTAAATTAAAATCTATATATTATATATTCAATTTTTTAATTTAAATTTGTTTCAATTTTATGAAAATTTATATTTTTATGGAAATTTTTAGCACCCATATAAACGCTTATTTCACACGTTGTGTATTAAAATAACACATTTTGACATATGTGAAAGTTAAAAATAACAAAATACTATTAAATTGAAATAATTAGTTTAAATCTAATCCTCTAATGTTTAACAGTGAAAAAACGAAAAATAATTTTTTGCGTGACACCTGATTTTCGTATACTCGTACGTTGTACAGAGCGCTATTTTCGTAGAGATATTTAAAATATCAAAAAAATCATCCTGTATATCTTACATAAAAATTTAGAGGAAGAGAAAAAGGAAATAAATAAGACAGCAACTTTTACAAATCTGTCATCTATTTTACGATCGATGATGATAGTTAGCACGCACTCCCTGGCACTCACATATGCATTCGCACTTTTGTACAATTCACACGCGCGGTTTTATTTACAAGATGAAATCAGGCCGAGGACAGATCTCATAATTTACAAAGTAAACGCGTAAGGCGATCGTTGAGGAGGTCGCATCTCGCGATCGCGAAACGTCGTTTGGAGAGAGGAGAAAATCAGTCTGGTAGTCTGCCGCCAGCAGGCTACTCTCAGGAACGCTACGATTAGGCGCCGTTATTGCTCTAACGAGCACGAATTGAGCACGAATTTGACACGCCCGCGAATCACGTTATCATCCGCGTGGCGGATTCCACTACAGCCCGATAATCCCATTCATCATCACGGCATTCCGTTAGCTTCGCAATCTAAGAATTGCAAAGTAGTTTGTTGCTTGTAATGTGGGAAGACGAACTCTCTCCCTTCTCTTCTAATCAAAACGCCGTATCTTGAGTCGAATGGCTGAATGACACAAATGCTATTCAATACTTAACACAAACAAGGAAAATTTAACAAAATTGTTTGGAATATTCTAAAGTCAGATAATATATGACCGATACAATTTCCAGATTTAATCCGGATTTATTAAGACAATGGATTTTACGATTTTTTAATCCTCCACCGGCAATGTTAAATTAGATTTTTAAGTACAGTCACGTCAAAGTATAGAATTTTTATTATTAAAAGTTGGATTTTATTTTACTTACTTTTTTATCGATTTAAATTCAAATAAATTTAAAAAAGTAAGTAAAATAAAATTCAACTTCTATGATTTAATACAAATTCATTGTTAAAACTTTCATAAGTATGTAAGAAGTTTGTCAGATCTTTAAATCTTTATACGGTACGGAACAATATAAAAATTTACAATAAAATTCAAAGACTCAGATAGGTAGACAAAGAAATAAAACATTTCACATTGCCGACGGAGATTTAAGAATGACGATATTCTATCATCGTGAATAAAAAGATATAAGGACTAGTTCTGTCCCATACAGCACAGACCTTCAAACGCTCCAAAGACATTTCCAGAGGACATCTATGTATATCTTAAAGACGTTCTCAGGACATCTCTTGGATAAAGTATGCTGTGTGGGCGTATATTACAGTAAAATCCAAAGTCAATTAGAAAACAGCGTTCCTATTTAGTGAAATTGCAATTTTAGTAAGTAACATAATAAAAGTCGTGATTAATTAATCACTAATATTTTTATCTTACTTTTATTTTTCATTTAACTAATAAACAGTCAATTTTCGAGACATATAAAAGGATCGAAATCTAATTCACACACGCGCGTATAAATACAATATAGCTGTACATCGTCATATAAATTAATTTATAACAAATTTCACAGTCACGTATCCCGAAAATCAATTCATTTTGCAATTTCAGTAAATAGTCTTTTTTAAGGCTCTCGATTAAAATATTAAAAATCCTGAAATAAATGCCACTTAGCCATTCAAGCAATCATTACGATATGTACGATTGTATCGAGTATGTATCTGGCACGACAGCTTAAGATATATGTATACAGAAGTCGCTAGTTAACAATTATAATTGGACTGTCTCGATACCCAGTCGCACATATTTCCGTCTCACCGGCGGCAGATAAATCGTCGTAATTAAAAATGGCATTTAAAGTAATCTCGCGTGATTGCATATTGAATATCGTGTACGATCGCTCGAAACGTGCAAAACATGCAAATTAAACATCGACATTTGATGCTACTAAAATTAATATTATTTGTAATATTAATAATTATCAATTATTTAAAATTAATTAAAATAGTTTAAAATCTTAATATATTAATATTATAAATAATATTAACTTTACAACACACTCACAGCGTGATTTTCACGTTATGAAAAAATATTAGATTGGTGGAAAAAAAGAAACTTATTAGAAAGAATAGCGTACGATATAAAAATTGAATAGTTTTCCAAGTTATTTCTAATCATTTTTTCGTCTAATAATATTTCTCTATAAGGATCGATTGTTTATAATACGTGATATCATGTCGTAAGAGAATATTTGAGAATATTAAGTTCGATCGATCGTACCGAGGGGTAAATATTACGCGCTCCGCGCGAGCGTAATCATTTTGATTAGACACGTGCCATTCAGTATTTACAAAAAAATTGCGAGATAAAGAGTACAATAGAAAACAACGAATTTCTCCCGTGCACGATGGGAAAAATACGGACGAGTCTCTCTTCGAGGGACGTTCCTCTCCGTTTTATGGCAAGATGGCTCGTTCGACGTGGCACCTCACTGCAACCCCTAAACATTGCAATGACTTTTCATGATATTTTTCGCTAACATTTTTTTCAATGTATCCTCATGTAACTCGAAACCATGTCTTTCGATCTTTCAAGCCCGCGAGACTGGATGTCACTATTTATGCTATCAATGTACAAACGTTCGACTAACCAAACTAAACAAGCAGCAAAACAATTCGATAACATTCCTAAGTGGAGCTCGCACATTTCCTCAGGTCGAGTCTTTACAATTTGCCCGAAATAAATCTCACAATCATTAAACTACTATTGTTCACTAAATTGTCCCGGCATCATATCTAAGGATCCGTTTCAAACGTATTCCTCAGACGGTTTGGAGATATTCGCCGGTAATCTGGGTACTCGACTGGTACTGTCCGGCAGCTCGGCGATGTCGATAAACACGCCGACGAGGCTCTCGAAGTTGGGTCCCCAGTTGAGCAGGTAGTCCCAGCTAAGAGCATCCTCGGCGGCGGCGGTGGTGGTGGTGGTGGTGGTGGTAGGCGAACCATTAGTGGCGTGGGTGCTATAGAGGAGGCCGCCCATATGGGTCGACAGATCGTCGTCAGAGGCGACGAGGGTGCTAAGGGAGCCGCGAAATGAACTGTCGAAGCCGTCGTAGTTGCCAACGTTCGGTGGCAGCGGTGGTTTCGTTGACTGCGACGATTCAACATTGTTCCTTCCCTGCGGGCTGCTCCTCTCGTCATCCTGTTTGGCGAACAGGTTGTCGGACCGCTTGTCGCCCACTAGTGACCCATTGTCGTATTCAATCTCCGAACACGTGAAGCTGTCGTTACCACTCTCGTCGGTAGTTGACGAATTTCGTCGTTCGAGCCTCTCTACCGGGGGCGTATGACGTCGGTGATGATGAAGAGGCCCGTGCGCAGGTGGACCCCTGGCTTCGCTGGAGGAGCTCACGGCGTCCAGGGTGGAGACCAGGCTGGACGTTCTCGGACGAGAATTGAGTCGCTCAATCTCTTCCGCTGTGAGACCCATTGGGCCCGATGATACATTATTCACAGAGTTTTCATTATTCGACTGAGGGGCCTTCCTGCTGGCGGTCGAACCTGATAATTGACTCATGATGGGCGAGTTCAGACTTCTCTCGCTGTTAGAATTTAACGCGTCCTTGCCGACACCGCCGGATGAAGACGTGGTGGCCAGCAGCGCACTTTGCAACGGTTTTCCGCTGATGTCGTGCAGCGTGAGAATCCGCGGTTGTTGTGCAGACAACTCGCTACTGGGAGATAATCTCGCCAGAGGAGTGCTCTGGAGCAATTTTGGCGCTGGTCCAGGTGGTTGGTTCACGTTGGGTGGTGGCATAGCTCGTGGTGGAAAAGGTCCGTTATGACGATGTTGTTGTCCCGTGTGTTTGTGATGATTACCATAATTACCTGTGCAATAAATAATTTCTATTTAAGTCGACTAAATAATTTTATAAACGTATATACATCCTTTAATAATATAATAAAATACACTTTATTATATTATTAGGTAAGATTTAAAACGCGTTATTCTTTCACTTCAGTCGACATCAACTAAAAGGAATATAACATTGATGTTACATTACTTTTAATTACTTTAACGTCGATTGGAACTAAACATAAAAATGTTTCTCTCTAATAAATTATTAGTCTCCTCTCACCTATAGGAGGAGGAGTGGCTTTATATTTCCTCATGCCGTCGCGATAACCCTTGTAGTGATAAACGATGTCAATATCGCTGGGCGCGATGGAGCTGGCGTTCTCCAAGTCGTAATGCTCCGGGATATCGGGTTCCGGGTTATGCTCGTGAGAATGAAGAGAGATTTGGGTGGGCGGTGGTAACGGTGGATGCTCATCGCGGATGGGAGGCGATTTGGTGACCTCAC